TTTTACTTCAGAGTCACATGTACGTATGTACCCAAAGAGACGCATGTGGCTTGTGAGCCGCAGTTTGCTGACCCCTGGGCTAGGCACATAGGATTTTCAGGTATGTAGGTTCTAGTATTAGGTACCATTTATAGGACACTTGCTATGTTCCAGGCACTGTGCTAAATACTTTAGATGCATCAGCTCATTTAATCCTCACAGCAACACAATGAGGAAGATACTAATATTATCCCCATTTTACAGGGATTACACTGAGGCGCAGAGGGGTGGAGGGACTTGCTCAAGGGTCACACACCTAATCCTTGATGGACCAGGGATTCAAATCTATATTTTGGAGGTATTAAATCCAGCGACTTTAAGCACAATATTATACCTTCCACCTTTTATACTGGTATGGGTTTCAGAAAACCCAGGAAGTACACTTGTGGTCCACCTTTTTCTACATCTTGAACTAATAGAAGATGATGACTTAAATGCTCCTAAGTGGACCAGAGTCCTTCCTGCCATAGAATGAACTCAGGGGAGAGATCACACGTTCTGGGATAGGGCGTGAGCTCCATATTCTTGTTTCTGCTGAGAGGGCTAAGACCTAGAGGATGGCCTTTTCTGAGACTCTTGCTAATCAGGGTCAGATTATATTTTTAGAAATATGTTGTTTAATCTCCTATTATTTTGAGATATTTTCCACTATCTTTCTGCTATTGATTTCTAATTTAATTTCATTTGGTTTGAGAACATACTTTGTATGATTTATATTCTTTTAAATTTGTTAAGGTGTGTTTTCTGGCTCACACTATACATAGTCTGTTTTGGCAAATGTTCCATGTGAACTTGAGACGAATATGTATTATGCTACTGTTGGATGAAGTATTGTGTAGATGGCAATTAGATCTAATAGACTGGTGGGGCTGTTTAGTTCAGCTATGTCCTTAATGATATCCTGCCTGCTGGATCTGTCCATTTCTGATAGAGGGGAGTTGGTCTCTATTATAGTGGATTCATCTATTTCTCCTTTACATTCATTCTATCAGTTTTTGCCTCATGTATTTTGACGCTCAATTGTTAGGTGCACACACAGTAAGGATTCCTATATTTTCTTGGAGAATTGACTCTTTTATTATTATGCAATGCACCTCTTTATCCATGATCATTCACTTGCTCTGAAGCCTATTTTGTTTGAAATTAAAGGAAGGCTGCTCCAGCTTTCTTTTGATTATTGTTAGCATGGTACATCTTGTTTTCCATCCTATTACTTTTTTAAAAATTTATTTTTTTTATTAGTTTCAGGTGTACAAAGCTATGTAATAGTTAGACATTTACACCCTTCACAAAGTAATAACCCCCCAATTACTACCACCCTGACATCGTATATAACTGTTACAATACCATTAACTGTATTCCCTATGCTGTACTTTACATCCTGTGAATATATGACTTTTAATTTATCTGTGTCTTTATATTTAAAAAATTTTTTGGTATATAGCATATAGTTGGGTCTTTTTTGTTTGTTTTTGTTTTGTTTTTTAATCAACACTGACAGTCTCAATCTTTTAATTTGTGTATTTAGGCCATTTATTGTTAAAGTGATTACTGATATGGATTAATATTTGCCATATTTAAATTGTTTTCTATTCATTGTCCTTGTTCTCTTTTTTGTCTTCCACTCTTTTTCTGCCTTCACTGCTTTCAATTGAGTGTTTTATATGACCCTGCTTTCTCTTATCTCTTAGCATATGTATTATATTCAAAACTTTTTTCTTAGTAGTTGTCCTAGAGTTTACAATATGCCTTTACAACTAACGCAAGTTCACTTTCAAATTACACTATGCAACTTCATGTGTAGTGCAAGTACAGACAGTCCCTGACTTATGATGGTTTGACTTAACAATGGTGCAAATCTATATTCATTCAGTAAAAACCATACTCTGAATTTTGAATTTTGATCTTTTCCTGGATTAGCGATATGAGGGCCAATAGTTTCTCGTGATGCTTGGTTGTGGCAGTGAGCTGCAGCTCCCACTCAGCTATGCAACCATGAGGGTAAATAACAGATAGTCCACAGTATACTGTGTTGCCAGCATTTTTTGGATATTGTGTTTTATAATTTCACATCCCATCATGTCACGAGACATCCATCTATGTATCCTGTTTCTGGTGAGAAGAAGATGAGGAAAGCAATTACTCTTGAAATGAAACTCAAGATAATTGCCCAAATGTAGGCTAATGTAAGTGTTCTGAGCAAGTAGGCTATATAATGTTTGGTACATTAGGTATATTACATGCATTTCTGACTTATGATATTTTCAATTTTTGTTGGGTTTATCAGGTACATAACTTCATCGTAAGTCAAGGAACATCTGCACCTTGTAACAGTATTCCCAATTCCTCCTTCCTGTCCCTTATGCCATTGCTGTCATTAATTTCATTTATCAATAAGCTATATCCACTGGATACATTGTTGCTATTATAATTTTGAACAAACTGTTATTTGTTAGCTCAATTAATTAAAAAATATTTTGTTTTACCTTCATTTATTCCTTCCCTAACACTCTTCCTTTCATCATGTAGCTTCAAGTATCTGAGCTATACCATTTTTCTTTTCTCTAAAGAACTTTTTCTAACATTTACCTGTGAGAAGCAGGTCTACTGGTGATAATTCCCTCAATTTTTCTTTGGCTAATAGGTCTTTATTTCGCTTTCACTTTGGAAAAACAATGTTGCTGTATACAGAATTGTAGGCTAGTGTTTTTTTTTCTTTGAACACTTTAAATATTTCACTCCACTCTTTTTGTTTGAACTGTTTCTCAAGAGCAGTTGTATGTAATCCTTATCCTTGTTCTTCTATAAGTAAAGTGTTATTTTCTATGGGCTTTCTTTTTTCCAGGATTTTCTTTTTTGTCTTGATTTTCTACAGTTTGAATAGGATGTGCCTATCTATGGATTATTTGGTATTTCTCCTGCTTAGTGTTCTCTGAGCTTCCTGAACCTATGGTTTACTGGCTGGCATTTATTTTGGAAAATTTGTATCTATTATTCCTTCAAATATTTTTTTGTTACTTTCTGTCTTTCTTTTTCTGGTGTTCCCATTACACATACGTTATACTTTTGTAATAGTACACAGTTCTTGGATATTCCTTTTTTTTCCATTCTTTTTTTCTCTTTGCTTTTCAGGTTGGGAAGTTTCTATTGACATATCTTCAAGCTCATTGAGTCCATGTTCAGCATCCTAATGAGCCCATCAAAGGCATTTTCATTTCTATTACAGTGTTTTATATTTATAGCATTTGTTTATAATTTTCTTAGGGTATCCATCTCTGCTTACATTACCCATCTGTTCTTGCATGTTGTCCACTTTCCCCACTAGAATCCTTAGCAAATTAATCAGTTATTTAAAATTCCCACTCTGATAATTCTAATGTGTCAGTCTGATTCTGATGCTTGATTTACATCTTTAGACTGTGTTTTTACTTTTATTATGTCTTGTAAGTTTTTGTTGAAAGCCAGACAGGATGTATCAGGTAAAAGGAAGTGAGGTAAGTGGCCTTTAATGTGAGGTTTTATATTTATCTGGCTAAGAGTTAAATTGTGTTTTCTGGTTGCTGCAATTGCAAGTGTCAGAAGCTAAAATTTTGTATAAGGTCCCTATTATTGTCTCCTCTGTTGCCTTGGGTTTCCCTAAAGAGTCTTTCTTAAATAGAGTGTAGGCTTCCAGTTCTTTCAGCTGAAACCTCTCCTTGTTATATAGGAGCTTAGTTGATGTGGTGGTAATGTGTGGAGGAGGGGAAGCATTCCATAATTATATCATTAGGTCTCAGTCTTTTAGGGTACCTGTGCTCCTGGAATATGACCTTCGCAAGTGTTCCTCAGCTTTTTACCACCACAGATGAGATGGGAAGGCTAGAAAGGTTTGGAGTTGGGTATATCCCTTCTTCTACACCAAAGACTAGAGGGAGGTAGTTTTTAATACTTCCCTTCTTCAGATTTAGTTACACTGTGGTAAAAAACAAGTCAGTTAGCCTTAGGTCCCATGGGCTTTGTAGTTCATAATTACAAGTGCAAAAGCTATACTGCCCCAGGACACTTGAACCTGACAATTCTAAAGCCCCAGAGAACTATGATTTGATATACTGCTTATAAAACATTAATGATTCAAGCCCTAAGGTCAAAATTTCTTTAGCCTTATGGTTCAAATATTTTGTTTCAAGTGTGTACTGATAGAAGTGTTACAAGATTTAAGTCCACATGGACCCAGGATTCTATGGTTTCTAAGCACTATGGTTACAGTACATTGTACTTTTCTGGCTTTCAAGTAAAAACAAACAAAGAAATTAAAAAAAAAACCAAATCCATAAACCTGTGGCCACAGAAATGTTCAGAGTCTAAAATACCTGAGGTTGTTTTATTTTTTTATTTTTTTAACTTTTTATTTTTAAACTCATGTTTAATGATACCACAGTCCTCTAGCTCCAAAGCTCTCATAGTCCAATGTTTCAATGTTCCTCAAATTCTGTGGCTCCAGGTCTACATGGTCCAGGCCTATAAAACCCAAGGGTGATACGATGGTATGGACTCTGGCCCCAGGGATCCAATGTTCCAGAACTCTCTGCTTGCTGAGCCTTAGAAAAGAAGAGCTATGAAAGGTCCCCAAGGTCCTTGTTACCTGCTTTATCTTGGTACCAAACATGGAGCCGCTCACGTCAATAACGAACACCACGTTTTTCTCAACTGGTGGGAGGCCTCTGGGGGCAAAGTAATGAATAAAATAGCCGTCGTAAATCTGGACAAAAAGAAGTGAAACCAACACAAACTGTAAAAGCCAGTTGAAATCAGGCCCCTCTTCCTCTCCTACATAACAAACAACTCTTTTCCTTCCGAGGCCTTATCACTGTTTCTAGTTAAATAGGCATTTGTGTGCTTGTTTGTTCAATGTCCATCTCCTCCCCCAGAACCGTGTCTCCGCCGCCCCGTTCAGATTGTCAGTCCAGGACGTGCCCCAGAGCTGTGGAGTGATCTAGACTGGCTCGTGGCCCAAGGCTCCAAGGAGCAGGATCTCTGTAATATATGAGTTCCTGTCCGTGAGAGCTGGGTTTGCACAGCCTTGAGGGCCCCGAGGGACATTTTGCCTGGGCTCCAGGAACTGTAAGTATTGTTTTAACCTCCCTCTATAGAGTGAGCCTGGGGCCCAGCTCCATTGCTGCCAGGGGCTGGGAGTTTGCAGGGCCTCCCTCTCCTCCTTAAACCTCCTTTCTGCTGTTGCTGGGCAGAGCAGGGAGGGGCGGAGGGAGCAGATGCTTAGTGAGCTGTTTGTTCAGAGGGGATTGGTTAGACCAGGTGGAGATGCCTAAGGCTGTGGGGGATGTGATTGGCTGCTGACCCCCCCCACTCCATCTCTCCCTCTGCAGAGCCAGTGGGCTGGGACAGCTGAAGGAAGGGGAGGGGGAGCTGGGACGGGCCCCCAGGACCAGAGTCAGCTCAGCCTAGGGAAGTATGAGCTTGCTGAGGGTCTGTGCTGCTCAGTATCCAGAAGCAAGCTCTGCCCTGGGACAACCAGTTGCTTCTCTCTGCCATTCATGCACTCTCTGATCACAAGGCTGGACACTGTCTCCTCCTTTCTCAGGGGATCTGGGAGGACATGGGAGCACATCTTGCTCTTCCCCTCCCCTCAGCCTTTGAATGAATTCACAAGTGCATGTCTCCACTTTCTCAGGCACTCTACAGCGGTTCCCAAAGGCCTGGGTCAACCAGCCTGCAACTGCCCAAGCTAAAGACAGAGGCCAGCTGTCGCCTCGCCTCTGTTGCTCCCAAATCTGGGTAGGTGAGAGCTTCTGGGGAAACCACACGTGCTCCTCTCCATGGTCCCAGGCTCAACAGTGGCCCCACACCTCACATCCTGTAAGCCAAAGGCATGCATGACCCAGGTCACTAACCACTCACACTCCCCTGTGGGCGGTTGTCATGCCCTTCCACTCTCAAGACATGTCTCCCTGCCTTCCTCATGAACAAAATGAATGACACCAGGCCATGCCCCTTGGACTGCCCACCCCACCCTTACACAGGTCCACACTCCCATGCACCTCTTCTCTCTACTGAAAGACAAAAGAGTCCTGCCTTGCACACCACGTACTGCTAGCCTCCAGCACCGCCTCCACCCGTGACGACCCTGCTGTCCAACCTACCCCACACACCCTACAGGGTCTTCTTGAGAATGTAAAGTTTCTGTATCTTTTCCATCCACTAAGACAACCCCCATTGATCGCAATCCCACCCAAACTTCAAGCCAGCTTCTCTCCTCCCTGTAACACGCCCCGGTAATGAAATCGGCGCCTGCAAGGGTCTTCTCTTCTTCACGTCGCTCTTCCGCTCACCACAGACTGGCTCCCACCTCCACCACACACTGACCCTTCTCTCACTAATGGCAACTAACTAGTTGGTGTCCAAACTCAGTGGGTGTATTTCAGTTCTCATCAGACTGCACCTCCCCAGTGAATTTCACAATTGATGATTCCTTCTGCTTCCTTCAAGAATCTTTTCCCCTGGGATTCTGAGATGGTGAACTCTCCTCATTTTGCCACTAGCTCTCTGGCCCGTCTGATTCAGGCTCATTCTGGGGCTGCATTTTCTCCCCTTGTCCCTTAAGCAGTGCATCCCAGTATTTTGAGTCCTGGCATGCAAGAAAAGGATTGTGTTCGTGTAGCACAATGGAGGGAAGTGGTGGGAATTTACAGCTCTGAGCAGGCTGTTGGCAGTTGGTGGGGCCGGACACCCTGAGGGATGAAGAGAGCAACAGCCCCTGGAATGGGAGTCTCTGACTTAGCAACTGGCCTCCTGGATCTGCTCTTGTGCTCCGCACATTCCCCCTGGCTAGCTCGCATGGTTTCAATGGCTGAATGTCCACTGATGACGCCACATCTCTTTCTCCAGTCCAGTGCTCTCCACTCTTCCCCTTCCACAACCGCATACCCACTCACTGTCAGACATGGGCCCTTAGGTGTCAGAAGATGCCTCCATGCATCCTGCCCAAGCAAGAAATTCATTACTCCCCACCCCCATTCTTCCCTTGTGTGCCTTTGTCACTTAGAGGCACCATCATCTACATGGTGACTCCAGATGCAAACCTGACTGTCACCCCTGAATCCTCCTGTTGTCTCTCCCTCCCTCCAACATTCAACTGGCCACCAAGTCATGCTGCTTGGGACAGCTGGGTATCTCAGGTCCACCCCTCTTCTCCATCCCAAACTTCCAAAGCCAAAATTCAGGACTTCTTTCTCTCAGCTTTCCCCGCTTCTTTGTGGCCCCTCCCATCCAGACATCTTTGTGGCACCTGCTCGATCAAGTGTTTCTAAGCACAAAGCTCATAATGTCGTTCCTGTCGCGGCTTCCTGGTCACCAAAGACAAATTGCATGTTCCTCATCATGCCCCTGCAGCACTCGCAGCCTTCAGTCTCCCCTCCTACCATTTCTAGTGCCTAAAATCAATGCTCAAGGAACTCCAACCCACTTGTCGTTTCCCACACACCCTTGGATGTCTCCAGCCTCCCTTCTTTGTACCACGCAGCCCTCAGTTTGTGAGATTGCCATTGCTCTCTCATAGCCCCCCTCCAAACTTGGCTCACTCCTCACATTCTTTACGACCCAGGTCAGTCTTTACTTCCTCCAGGGAGCCTTCCCTGGCCACCTTCTCCGCTCATGATGGCTTCCATCATACTTTGGGTTGTCACTGAAAGAGCACTTCTTATCTTATGACAGCATTGCCTCTCTCTCTTTCACCCAGAGACAGTGAACAGCATCTGTGTGTGATTCACCTCAGGTTCTCGACATCAGCCAGCAGTGGGCATGACATATATTAGGGAGTCTGCACTGACTCCCAAATAAATGGGTCAATGTGCTGGGCTTGGGAAGATGGGCATACTCGAGTAGGAAAGGGAGGTAGATTGAGGAGCTCTTGCTAGGAAGACACAGGAGTCAGGACTCACGATAGAGTATGGGTGACATTATTTAATGCCTGATTCCACCTGTTCTACCTGTATTTCTACTCCAGTCAATGGTGGAAACAGTAAAGAATAAACAAGCAGATAAACACCTTAATTCTCTCCCCCTCCCCAATATCAGACTAAGACCCTGCTGCCATCTACTGGCAGGATACCCTCAGCTCCTAGTCTGACAGGGCGGATTACTTTTATTCCCCCTCCACAGCAAGCTGTGCCATACCCCTTTGCCTCTGCACATGCTGTTCCACCTCTCTCTGTATGCCATTCCCATCACCCTATCTGCCCAGGGGGAGGTAGATGCTATTTGTTCTTCCCATGCTAAGTAAAGGTCAATTCCTTTAGGAGGGGTTTCTTAAAACCCTCTTCAGCGGTATCTAGCTGCACATCGCCCATTACAGATTTATACACACACTTAGAACATTTTAGGATTGTTATGGCTCTATGTATCTGGGTCCTACGGGGCTGAGACGTTCCGAAGGGAGATTAGGAGCTGTGTCCACCTCATTTCTGACTTCTCAGAGTCAGTGTGGACGGGACTGGGCTACAGTATCTCTGCTCAATGGAGATGTGCCTATGAATGAATGAATGAATGAGTGAGTGAGTGTATAAGTGCATGAGGACAGGTGTAACCAAAGCACTATATTAGCCAAAAGCAGTGAGAGGAATGGTAAATGGGGTGTGGTCATCAGGGAGGTGGCGTTTGAGCAAGGTCTTAAAAGATAAGAAGGACACTGACCAGTGGGGAATGGAGAAGGTACTCCCAGCACAAAAGATAGTATGAGCAAATGCTCAGACACAGATGAATGGCAGGTTCAGGTGTTTGTGGGGAAAGGGGTGTGGTGTGGTGTGTGTGGGAGACAGCTGGAGGGTGGTTGTGTACTTGAGGCAGTGAGAGGTGTGGTGGGGCAGGCAGGCTGGGAGCATACATCTCAGGCTGCTATGCAATCGTAGTTGTAAAGCCACAGGTGTTGGATCAGTGCTCTACCCCTCTGGTACTGCAGGAGAACTCGGCTTGTTCTTCAAGAGTGTGAGAGCTCAGAAGTTCAGGGCTCCCCGCTTAGGCAGATGGCTCAAGGGAGGCAAAGGGAATTTTCTAAACTTAGAGACAAACTTAGAGAAGGTCCGAGGGAGCATCAGAGTATCAGAGCTGCAGAAAGCGTGACAGCCCACGAGTGTGAGAGACCGATTATTGGCCACTGATTCACTTTCCAAAAGGCCTGGATAAGAGTGGGACTATGACTGGATTCAATTAGGGACAGATTCATTTGGAATTTGATTCAATTTATACAGTTCCAGTTCTCCAACCCTTTGGGGGGCACATGTGCCTGCCGAGGTACGAAGTCATGTGTCACTGCACATCTTCTTGTTCGTGTTCACTAGTCTTCTCTGATCCCTAGGGGGAACCCAATGAGCAACTTTGGAGGCCAGATTGTTGCCCAGCCCTGTGTGACTCCAGAGCCCATGCTCTTCCCCTTCCCCTGGCCCCCTCACCTGCACATCGCCAATGATGTCCTCCATGACTACATCGTACTGGACCACGAAGTCAGCCATGATGCCTGAGCTGGAGAAGGCAGACTGCTCTTGAAGGGTCGGGCAAAAGGTGATTCGGACACAGGTCTCTCCCTTCTCAATCCTGGTAGACGGAGGCGAGTCAGCCTCGCCTGTATGGGTGGGGAGGGTGGGGTGGGATGGCATGAGGGGCTCACCAGGCTGAAAGCCAGGCAAAGGGGCATCAAAGCAGCAATGCCTGGGGAGGGTGGGAAGTAAGCCCTGCACTCCCTACTGCTGCTGCTTCCTGCAACACCTTCCACCTGCCCAGATGCCACACTCCTTCCTCTCCAAATCCTGTCAAGAGCTCCCTTGCTTTGCCTCTTCCAGCAAGCCCAGCATGACAGACCCAGGCCTCCCCTCAGCTCCCAGGCTCTGGCTGTCTGACCCTCACGCACAACTTTGCCCTGGCTCACTTGCCATCCAGCCCGGGGTACAGTGTCTGAAGGAGTGTCGTGCCCCCGAGTAGTCCAAGGGTGCGGGTCTTCTCCTGGAGAGGCCATGTGCTCAGTGTTGTGGAGAGAGACAGACACACAGACAGGGCTTAGGCTTCCTCCTAGGCTCCTTACTGCTGTGGGGAATTGCTGTCCATCCAGGGTCTCCTCTGGGATAGAATTTCATGCACTTTCTTCCCCCTCTGCCTTCTGACTCTCAGCATCACGTGTGTGAATAAGCCTTTTAATGCCTCATGAAGTCACAGATGAATTTCTGGTCCCGGATGTTTGCTGAGCTGCCCACAAGATCAGCTCCTCTGGAATTTCAGTCCAAGACAAATGTCCATTTAGACATGTTTCTGTGCCTCCCTTTTTTCCAGAAAATGGAAACTTGGGAATTCTGCACCCTACCCCCAGCCCCCGCCTTCCTGCTACAGCTGTCAGGAAGCTTAGGGGCAAACTGAGCCCCCATACTCTCTGAGGCGCCTGCTTACATACATTCCCTTGGCTTCCTTCCTTTCAGAGGTCTTTGTTCTGTTTTGTCCCCACAGGATTGGCTCTACCCTGTGCTTTAACCTTTAAGGAGCAGTGGGAGGGAGCTGCCATTTTTAGCTTAGGGCTCAAGAGTGCAGGAGACTCAGATGCTGCCTGTGGGGCCCTGCAAAGTTATTCACACTCTCTAAGCCTCGGTCTCCCCATCTGTAGCACGGGAATGATAATAGCTCCTCTTTCATAGATAGTGTCAGTGGGAATTAAACCAGACCATTTATATAAAGCTCTTAACACCATGCTTGGATCTAATAAGTGCTCACTACTGCAACAATTAGTGTTATCGCCAAATCTTTGTTACTCTGCAGCAGTGATTTGCAGCGAGGAATTTTCTCAAATTCTCATAATGGTCCTGGGCCACAGATGGCATCTCCTCATTGTACAGGTGGGAAAATTGGAGCAGAGCATTTGAGTGATTTGCTGTCAGCCCCACCTTAGGTGAAGGCCAAAGCTGGGACTTGAAACGAGGTCTATGTGTCTGTCTCTCTTTTTTGCATGCACCATACTGTGTCTCTTGGTTTGCATGGTCAAATGAGCCAGGACCTCCAAGCTAAGCAGCTTGGTGAGGAGGCCACATGACCTGGGTGATTTTCTGTGCATGTGCACTCATCTCTCAGAGGAGGTGGGTAGGCTAATTCAGTGGTTCTCTGATCTTTCCAGACATTAAGTTAATCTGAAAACTGGTCAGTAACAGATTCTTGCCCCCGCCCCATAACCTACATAGTGGTTCTGATGCATCAATCTGGCCTTCAAACACCTCTCGATGAAATTTGAAGCAAGGCTGGCAGCCAGGCCATCTCTCTGACCTACAGGCCTCAGATGGTATCATCAAGGGCGGCCTGCACTTTATGTTGTCCTCACACTGCTCTCCCATTCTCAGTGGTGATTCCAGAGGGAAGGATGTTTTGGCCAGTGTGGCTTCCACATATCTCAGCGTTGTCAACATATGATTTCATGGAGCCCACCCAGCAACCCCTCCCCAATCTGTATTTTCTTCTTGAGGGAAATTACAACTCTGTGAGGCATTAAGCTTGCTGTTTGACACTGCTTGGAAGGATCAGACCAAGTTTGAAACCCAAAAATCTTTAACTTCAAATATGATCTCGCCTCAGTTTTTTGAATGTGGAGGGACCTTGGCAGTGAGCACAGAGCAGAAGTGGTACTAGAAGAAGCTCAGCGTAAGGGGCAGTTTCCCATTCAGGGAAGGCCAGTCTGATGGTTGACCTATAGTTTTGCTGACATACTTGTATGGGTGTTTGTGCGCAGGCGGCTGGTCCTCAAAGGTGGTACTTGAACATATCCAATGCCCGTCTTTTCTGACACTGTGACCTCTACACACAGCTTTGTCACCAATTGGCCAGGCCTCAGGCTCACCACCAGCTGGTACTGGCCCTGGTGCCGCTGCAGCAGCTCCTCGTAGGCCAGGGAAAAAGTCACCTCTGAGCCTGCTGCCAGGCTGGTGGAGATGCGGAACTTCTCTGATTCCCGGTCCCTGGGCGTGAAAGGGAGGGTGGGAAGGGAATGGGATCTCATGAGGGGGAGAGGAGCTGTTAGATGACCTAATTCTGCCCACCCACACCCTTTCCCCAGCAGACCTGACCAAGTTTCTAGTTCAACTAAGTCCCTTGTCCAGTTAGTCATCCTCATCCACTCGTTAATCTGTCCTTCTCCCTCATTCACCTTCCTAAATATTCTGCCCGAGAAGTTCTATCACAGGCTGTTTAGTCATAAGGAAACTGTCAGTGAAAATCTGAATCTGGAGTAGCACAATAAGGGGCTAATGACTTACAAAAAGAGTTTTCAATTTACACAGTATGCCTCTTCCCCTTCAAATAGCCCCTTATACTCACCCCTCCCCCATGCTTTAGACAAAGCTTGTCTCAGTATGCAGTAGCCAAACCCAATATTTATGTGCTTGTTGAAACTCTTCTGGAAGCTGGGAGGAAACACTGAAGGAAGACAATACATTCCTGCCAGCAGAATGGAACTCAGGAAACAGGATTCGATTTGGAAACATCTCATTGAAACATAACCTTACCGGAAGATGCCAATTCTTAAGCAAGCCACATCCTGCTGGCAGGAGGAAAGTAGAAATGGGGAAGTAAACTCCCATTTATTGAACACCTGCTCCTTACAGGCTTTGATATTCATTAAATCACATCATCTTCTTGTAATCCTATGAAGTAGAGATTATTGTCCCCACTTCACAGAAGTGGAGACTGAGGCCCAGAGAGAACATGTATAAGCCCCTGATCACACAGCGAAGATGAACTTGTTTGCTTCAGGTTGGATGGAGCCTTACCTGATGCCTACATGAGCAGCTGTCTTTCCCTGCTGGTGGGCTTTCTCATAGATTTTCTTTGCCTGGTGCTTCTCTTTGACTTCTGCTATGTAGACTTTATTGTTGATGGTCCTAATGGAGCAGGAAAGAGGAAGGACAGACAGAGAGGGAAAGAGACATATAAAGAAGATGAAGGAGGAGGATGGGAGATGGAGAGAGCAAAAGAGCAAAAGAGTACCATAAAGCCAGAGTGAGAGCAGCATAGGAGGAGAGAGGAGAGGAGAGGGAGATAAACCAGGCGAAACAGTTACCATTATCTCCTTTTGTCATGTGGGAAAATAGAGACCCCACAGTTGGCATGTGATCTGCTTTTAGGACTTTATGTTGCCCCAAGTGTTGAATGAATTACATGTTTTGGCACACAAAATGATTTTAGGTGGGACACAACTGAGTATTTTAATTATAATTGTTACGTATTTACTGTAATGTGACTGAAACATAAAAGTAGCACATTGAACCCATGAGCTCACATACTGCTTCTTAGGATAAGACTAACTTACACAATCTTAAAAAGTGTATCTATTTAAAGAAAATATATTAAGTAAATAATATGGTAGGTGGTACAGGCAGTAAAAATTATGAAAGCAGAATGCAAATTTCTGCAAAGGCATCTGGGCCTGAGTAGGGAGGGGACTTTGGCTTCAGGGGGCTCAGAGACTGATGGGATGCTAACTCAGACTTGTTTACCCCTGTTTTTCCCATTGCTCTAAGGAAGGTAATAAAGTGTAAAGGAGTTCAAAGAAGGAAGAGAGCACTTTTGCCCAAGTCTTCAATAAAGGTTCCTAGAGGATGTGGCCTTGATGCTGGGCCTGAAAGACAGGGAGGACTTGAATAAATGGTCCTCACCAGCCATGCCCTCTCAATCTCCCTTGTCAGCTCCTTCTCTTTGGTTCTTGATCTTCCCTTCCTCTCCCCTCCTATTCCTTTCTCCTCCTCTGTTCTTTCTACAGTCATTCTCTAGGTAAGGTAATCTAGCCCTATGGCTTTAAATATCATTTATACACAGATTCTTCCTAAATCTGTGTATCTCAAGTGTGGACTTGTCCCGTGAACTCCAGACATATATATCCAATTGCTTACTTTATATCTCCAGTAGAATGTCCAATAGGCACCTAAAGCTTAACATATCCAAAACCGAGTTCCTGGCACCTCCTCCACCTCCCCAATCTGTTCCTCCCTTGGTCCCCCTTATCTCAGGAAATAGTTGTTCAGCTGAAAATCTTGGAGTCATGCTTGACTCCCCTTTTTCTCTCACACTCCACATCTAATCCTTTAGGGAATTTTGGCTCTATCTTTAGATACATTCACAATCTGACTACTTCTCACCACTCCCACACTTGCTACCCTGGTCCAAACTACCAACATCTTTTGCTTGGATAATGCAATAGCTTACCAACTGGGCCCACTCTTTAAAGCTTTGGTTCTTTATTATCTGTTCTTTTCACAGCAGTCAGAGAGATCCTGCTAAATCCTAAGGCAGTGTTCCATCTTTGCTCAATACTCTGTGGCTGTCATCTCAACTCAGAGTAAAAGCCAAAGTCCCTGGCCCTACACAGTCTGGCTCACTGTCACCTCTTTAACCCCTTCTCCTCCTACTCTTCCCCTATTCATTCTGCTCCAGCCACACTGGTCTCCTCACTGTTTCTTGATTTGTTCATCACACTTCTGTGTCAGAGCCTTTGCAATTACTGTTCCTTTTGCCTGGAAAACTCTTCCTCCAGATCTTTG